ATGATATGATGAGATATGATCTGATTTGATATGATATGATTTGATATGATATGATATGATATGATATGATATGATATGATTACTGTTTCATTGCATTATACGTCTTTTTTTTCATTTCATTTTTTATTTTCTTTTTTTTGATGCTTTTATTCTTTTGTCTTTTGTCTTTTGCGTCAAAATGTTGATAAAAATTCTATTTGCTATAAATTTTGCATTACATACAAACATTTTTTAATACAAAATTGTTTTTAAACAATATTTTTAAATTTTGTTTTAATTGTTTTTAATACAAAATTTAATTCATTTATTTACTATTTAAAGCCTGCCACTTTTTCCAAGATTAAAAAGTAACATTTAAAAAGCTAAGGCAAAAATAAACAAATTGAATTTAAAAAAAAAAAGAAAAATTTTAAATTGAAAACAAATGGAAAATAGAAATTTTTGATCAGTAAAAATATTGAATTAAAAACTAAAGCTAAAAAATAAAATCTGCTGAAAACTCGAACTCAAAAAATAAAAAAAAAAATTGGTTTAAATTGAAAGATGAAGAAATTATAAGGTAATATTTACTAAAGAAGATAAAAACGAAAGAAAATTTTGAATCAATGTTATTTGAAATTGTTTAATTCCAATAATAAATGATAATAGTAATACTAAAATCAGTAATTAAGAAATTTTATACAATGATAATATCTAACATTTTAAGTTTTTTTTTCTAATTTTTGCAATATCTGAGGAAAATTTTATTTTAACTTTTCATTTTTCTGACCAAAAATTTCAATTAGAATTTTTCTTTTTTTCAATTAGAAAAAATTTCAATTACAATTAGAATTTAAATTAGAATTTTTGGTTCATAATTTATTATGGTTATTCTTTTCATCTAGATGATTTGTTAATGAAAAAAAATGTGTTTTTTCGATACATCTTTTTCATTTATTTTAATTGAATTAATTTCAGCTATTATTGCATAATAATATTATTTTAATCAGTTCATTTTTAATTTATCCATCATTAAAAAAAAAAAAATCCGAAATGCTGTGAAAAATTTTTTTCAAACTTTTTTTATATTTTATCCTAACTTTTTTGTATGTTTTGAAATTTCTGCAAAAATTATTAATCATTAATGCTTATTTTTTTGTAAATTTTGTGACGAATTCAAAATAATACGAAACAGGAAATTGAAATTGTCCACTTTTAGTTTTAATTCAAGTTCAAAAAAAAAAATCAAATTGTATTACTTTGTTTTGAATAAATAATAATTATTACTATAATTTGTTCTACTTATTTCTTCCTTTACATTTACCTTTTTTTTTTCTTTTATTCTTTTTTTTCTTTTCTTCACTGAATTTATCATTTCATTTTATTTTTTTAAAGAAAAAAAAAACTAATTAGATGATTAATCAAGTTTACCAAAGAAGCGAAAGTAATTAACGATAATGTCAATAATGAATAATATAACAATATTTATTCAATGCTACTATTAATAATAATAATAATAAATAATATTGATAATAAATAATAATAACAATATATTAACAACAAATAAATAATAATGGAAATAATAATGATTATAATAAATAATTGTAAATAATTGCGAATAATTGTAAATAATTGTTTCGCATACCGTTCAGCATTATAAATTATTGGTATTCACATCATCGCGAGACTGTTTACTGCAACATAACTTTTTGAACCCAACTGATCCGTTGTCAACCCATTCGTTGTCACCAATCCGTTGTCACCCGTCCATTGTTATTCATTTGTTGTCATCCGTCACTCGTTCTCATGTCCTTGAAGTATTATGTCTGATGTAAAAATGGTAAATCAAACTTCAAATATCAAACTGAATTGGAACAATTGTTTGTGATGCATAATATTTTATTAGTTAATGCATTTTTAATATTACACAGTGTACTAAAATATGTAATTCGTTGACATTTGAAACACATTTTTAAAAAAAAATGAAAAAGATTTTAATTTTGCTTTCATTTTAATATTATCGAATTATTCCTAATTTCAAATTATTTAAGTGATTAATTAATCTTCTTGAAAATTATTTGAAGAGAAAATATATGCTTTTTTTTTACAAAAAAAACAATTTTTTCAAAAATTTTTGTTTTAATTTCAAATTTATCTTACTTTTCTCACTTTTATCTTACTTTTTCAAAAAAAAAAACTTTAATTTTCAGTTTTAAAAATTTTTCAGTGCTAGAGTAGAATGTAATGAATAAATAATTTCATACTGTTTGTGTAATGAAAAGATTCAAGTTAATAAATTGAACTAAATAAAAATAAGAAATTAACTAACCGTTTTGTCATCATCCGATTACTTAAAAATGATTATTTAAAAAACATGTAAAAAGTTGTTTATTATTATTATTATTGCCATTATTACTTCAATGAAGTAATAAAATACATATGTATTTAAATTAAAATTTATTTCAATTTTTCATTGCAAATTTTTATTCGACTGAGAATCGGTAAGAAATTATTCTCTGTTAGCGACACATAAGTTCTTAAAACAAGCCATAAACTTTGCATGAGCTAGAAATTTAATTTCTAATTTTAGTAGCACTGGAAGATATGACAAATTTTAATGTAACTAATTTTAAAGTTTAATTTTGCTTTAAATATGCTAGCGAAGAACAAAAGCAACTAAGGATGAATCAGCATCGTAACAATGCAAAAATAATCAACGAAATGCAACAATCTGAATATGATAGCTTATTTAATATTATCAGTGAATGTTTGGATGTTTATTTTGTTGACAACAGAAATTCTTATCAATATCCATCATCATATAACTAAGTGATAAATTAAAATTATGAATTATTATCAATGTAAATAAAAATTTCAAATGAAATCTACATCATAACAACATTTTCAAAAATAAAATATGACCAAATTGTTACAGTCTGACTTATTAGCATGCTATCATAGTTTAAGCATTTCAATTAATTAAATTCGTAACAATTTCATGTATACTAATTATTTATATTACTCGAAGATATTGTGAATTAACTCTGAATTTCACTCTGACGTTTTATTTATTTATTTATTTACCTCACTATTTGAATTTGAAAAAAATTCATTCAGCTAACTAATTAATTTTTAATTAAAAAATCAAATAAACCAAATTTATTGCAAGAAAAAAAAAGTGCAATAAATAGATACACATAAAAAAAGCAATAACTGAATGCATTTTTGATTTTAAATTTAAGTTGATTTTGCTCTATTGCTATTTCGTTTCATCTTCTTCCATATCATCGCTTCCGGTTACTGATTTTTTCATACTTTTTGAATCTGATACAGACGATACATCCGGTATATCACCCGTTTTGCTTTCACCACTACTACAATTCAATTTTATCAATAATTCAAGCAAACCACAATATATTCTATTCAACTTATCCATTTTATATTTGTCACTTTCAATATTAAAATTTTAAATCAAAAAATCAGAAAAATTGTCACAAACCTTTTCATTTCTTCACCTTGTGATACTACTGCGTGTGCATTGATATGTTCCATCAAATCTTTCTATAATAACTTCGCATTTGCCTTATTAAAATGGCAAAATTTCATTGTAAAGTATTCTTATTGCTTTTTTTGAAATTACTTTTTAAACTTTTTTTTTTAAATTCAATTTTTATTAAAAAAAAATGCGATATTTTGTTACATCCGATAGTATTATCTAAAATTCTTTCATGTTACATAAGCATATTTTTAGTATATAACAACAAATTTAGTTCAAAAAAAAAAAAGAAAGAAAAAGAAAGCAGAATTGAAATATAAAACAAAAACAACAAATGAAACATAATGTTAATAATGTAAACAAAAAATTTTATAATAATATTTTGCCAATTTTATGCTAACGCTTAAAATTTTTCGTAAATTAAAGTTAATTTGCTTAAATAAACTATCAATATAAAATTTAAGAAATTTGAAATAGTAATTTAAAACAAAAAGCAAATATTCTCATTAATAATATATTGTTATTAGTTTAAAAAATTATTCATTTATAATTTTTTTTTTTTCTGAAATAACAACTAAAGAATAATCTTCTTTTTAAAATTTCAAACAAATATGGTGCAAAACGGTAAACAAAAAAGTGAAATGAAACTAATATCATAAAATTTCAAGAACTGCTTGAAAATGCAATATTAAAATCTTTGTTATTACTTAATGATAAACTTACCCTATTTGATCGACAAATTTGATTTGAAAGAACAAAAAAATAATTTTAGTTGTATGTCAACTAATTAAATGATAAGGAAAAATACAATAGGTTTAAAAAAGCAAAAAAACAGAAAACATACTTTTTCTCGGATTTGATTAATTAATTGACGCAACCTATCTTTTTCACATAAAGTGCTATCACCTACAAATTTTTTTTTTTTCAATGATGACAGTGATAATAATAATTATAATAACGTTAATACTATTATTAGTAAAAGTAATAGCATTAATAGTTAAAAATAATAGCAAGCATATAAATGATATTTGTTCATCAAAAGAATATGGACATGATTAATAAAAAAGAGAAAAAAGTGAAATATAAAAAAAGCAAAAACGTTTGCACAAGGAAGCAAAAAATTAAATGGAGAAATTGTAAATAAAATGGAAATTATTTCGGTAAGCTTTCAATACTAGAAAAGTAAAAATTTGTTTCAAAAAATTTTAACAAAAAAAGGGAGAATAAGAATACGGCGATGCTTAAATGTCATGTAATTTATGGTAATATTAAACAAATTAATCATAAAATAAAAATAATAAATTAATTTTATCAAATTAAAATCAAATTTAAGCGTTATTTAATTTGAAATAAAATAATTCAAATAAAATTAGCATTTCTAAAAAAAGAAAGACAATGAATCATAATGTTAATGGAAAAATCAAAAATTATTTGAATTATAAATTTTCGTTTTAGGAAAATGAAAAAAGATGATAATGTAGTTTATAACTTTGTAATTTTGTGAATTACTTTTATCAAATTTTGATTAATCTAAGCATAAAGCTTTATTGTTGATTTGAATCAAAGAATTACCATATTCACTGCATGTAACAGATTGTGTTGATGTTGAACGACGTGCTGCAATTAGCATTTTACGCTTACGCAGTGTACGTGAATGCACTGATAATTCTTCTGCCTTCTAAAATAGTATCATTATAATCATAATATAATATACTTATCGTATTCGGTAATTTATTCTTAAATTATTTTTACATTTTTTGTTTTAAATAATATATCTATGTTTACAAGAAATAATTATAAACTGCAGATTTACAATATGGATAATACGATAATGAATTTATACTCTCCGTACAATTATATAGTACTAGTTTCTTCGCATACAGTAGTATGTAAATTATTACTGTAGAATACAGTAATGATTTTATTCTTTCAAAACGCAATCAAGTAATATTTTCATTGGGTACAGTAGTACGTAAATTATCATTGTAAATTATAGTAATGAGTTTACGCTTTCATGCAAATACCTAATACTACTTGCATTGAATATTGTAATAATATGATTACAAATTATTGCTGTAATTACGGTATTTAGATACAGTAATACAAGACTATCTTGTGTTCAGTGGTATAATTGCAAATTATTACGATAAATTACAATTTTATAGTACGATCTTTGAATTCGTATACAGAATATTTATAAAGAAATAAAAACAAATTACAAATTCTAACATCTCGAATCATCCTTTCGTGTATATTATCAGGCTGTTTGCTTACATGCTTGATCGTAACAATTGGTGCTGCACCCTTTTTAATGTTACTGTATTTATCACCTTGTAAAGTGATACGACGATTCTCGCAGTCATAATAGCATGCAATTGATGTGGTTATAAGTAGAAGTATGATGAAAATTGTAAGTAATATCAAGACATATAGCCTAAAACTATGGACAATGAATATTTTAAATTTGTTTTAATAATGATCTAATTTTTTTAAAATTTCATTTAACAATCGAATTGAATAAAAAAAATAAACTAATATTTAATTAAACAGAAATATAGGGAAGTAAACTAAAAATAAGTCAGTGTAACTTCAAATCGACTAACTTATCAAGTTTTTAATAGTGCTATATTAGACAGTAATGTTTCAAATTTTAATTTCAAAATGGATTCAGCACTTTGCAAAACAATTAGAATTCATTTTGAATTTAAGCAAGAAATTTCATTTTACTCAGTCAAATTTGACTTAAGGTATTGCTTTGAATACTGTTTTCTATTAATGATTACAAATAGCTATGATAATTAAATACTAAGAAAAAGAAAACATCAAAATAATAAAAATAATAATTATAACTAACTCAAAATAACCAAAAATTAAATTATTTTTGTATTTTGTTGATACGATAGTAATATTTGTTAATGTAATATTAGATTCTGTATCATTCCATATCGAATCATTATAATCCGAAATCCATGTGAATGGAATATAAGTTGTCGCACTTATCATATTTCTTTGCAAACGTTGACTAATATTTGATCGTTGTATTTCACGTTCACTTAATTTTGCATTCGTTTTAGTAACTTCTACGACTTCTCTGATATGTCGCATTTTTGGTTCAAAGAAATTTTTTTCCCATTCTATAAATTTCAATTTAAAACAGAAGTTTTTACTTAATAATAAAAATGTTACCGAACTATTATTCAAATTTTAGGAGAGAAAAAAAAAGCAAATCACGTCTTTTTTTTGTTTTCACCTTTCGCTTTTTTTGTTCCGAAAATAAGGAAAGCAAAAAGAAAATGAATTTTAAATTTAAAACTGTTCAATATGATTTGAATACAGTTTTTTTTTTTTACTCCATCAAATTTTTTAAAGTATTTGAAAATAAATAATACTAATTTCATGCTTTCATTATTGTATGCATAAAACTGCATACATTTAAAATATATTCTTAATTTTTTCTAATTTTCATTAACAATTTAGATCATTTAAAGCAATAACTAACATAAATATTTAAAATAGTAATTTTAACCTGATAAAAAATTTTGCATAAATAATGCATTATATTCATTATGATCACTTGTTATCCATAAACGAATACATTTAAAATGTTTTTGATCAATATTATCTAATCTATTCTTTAGCATATTCTCTTCTAATATACAATTAACTTCCATAATTAACTGATTTTTATTTTCTTTTCGCACATTCCACATTAATGGACAATAATTATGATCATGAAAAAAAAAAGTAGTAAGTAATAACTTTTTGAATAATTCATTTTGATGTTTTTTTTTTCTTTTTTCTTATATAAATGAAATGAGTGGATTTAATATCTAAATAAACGTTGGCGAATTAAATTCAATCTTCAAATAAAACTAAGACTTAACAATTGCTTTGAAAACAGTAACTTTTATTACATATTCGATTAACTCCTTACTGTGAAGAAAAAATTATGAAAAAAGAAAAAACTAAAAAACGAACAGTCGAACATTTTTTAGTTTATTCATTACAAATTTCAAACTAATCAACTGATATTTTAATAATTATTAAACTTTAACAAATAGTAACAAACAATTGATAACCTAATTAACCTGCTCAAAAAAAAAAAAAAACATTAGTCTTCTGACCTATTTATCATTGCATTAAAATATTCCATTTTTGTGTTTAATTTGAATTTTTTTTTTCATGTAATACCAAATTTTACTTTTTTTTTCAATGAGTAGAATTCAATTGTTAGAAATTCTATCTAACACCTGTTCCTTCTTTTGTAATTGAAATGAAAAGAAACAAAAAAAAAAAACGAGAAACAGAGAATAATCATTTTGTTAGAACATAAAATCGTTCTACTAAAATTATATGTCAAAGTGATAAATTTAAATGAGGTGTGAATGATAGAAATAAAAAATTGTCACCTATAAATGAAAAATATTATTGAACATTTTTTTTTTCTTAGTAACTGCTTTAAAGAACTGTGCAAAGAAGAAAAAAATAAAATCAAAAAAGCTTTTGTATTTATGGAATACACAATTATTTTCATAAACCAAAAAAAAAAAGAATCAAAATTTTTAAAAATAAAAAAAATAAAAAATAAAAATGCAAATTTTACTACTTCAAATAAATTATGCCAATCGATAAGAATGTATGGTTTATAAGTTGCAAATAGCATAAAAATTTCCATATGACAACGATTACTGTCATTATGAATTATTAAATTTAGAAAAAGTTTATATTTTTGTGTGGACAATAATGCGACATGTAAACATTTTTGTAATGTATAATGCACCTAAATGAAATAATTATAATTCATTTCAAATTAATTCATAAAATATAATTATTTGATTCAAACAAATAATTTCTGATATGAAATGAGAAAGTCTTAATTAGATAAGTACAAAAAAATATTTACTGCTTATTTCAATAAAATTAATGTATATATCCAGCAATTATTGCAAATAGTACTATTTTCAGTTCCTAAATAAATTCTAATTAAACAAATGAAAAATGGAATTTTTAAAAATTTAAATTAGATAATTTAGCTAACCTTTACTTCATCATTAAATGATTCATGAAATGTAAGTTGAATAATATTATTGTTAAAGAAATTGCTTGAATTTACAAGTATAATTAAAATACTTAATAATATAACATATTTCTGAAATTTTTACCATTAAAAAAAAATAAAAATTCAACAAAGAGAAAAAGACAAATAAAAGCAAAGATAAGACTTTCATTAACTTAAGGTTTTAGGATGATTGAAATTTTATTTGCTACCCTACTTTTAATTTTTTTTTTTTGTGACAGCATTAAGTAAACAAACCATGAAGAGCAAACAACTTGGCTACAATTAATACACTCACATCCATAGAGTAGAAATTACGCCGATTGTAAACATCCATAGAGTAGAAATTAAATTAAAATTAAACTTATTTACGATTATTAAAATAATTTTTCCTAACTAAGATAATTTGATTATATGCAAAATTAATTGTTAAAAATGTATTTGTGAAACAAAAAAGGAGAAAAAATGTTTCATAAAGTTTGCATATTAATCAGAAATATTACTTACTGATAAGAGTAATTTAGTGTTATCTGTTAAACATTTATCGATTAATATGCATTAACATTTACAGTAAATTCCGCAGATTATTCTTGAAAATGTTGTATGCAGCAAATTAATGAAATAATATTTGTGGCGATATAATAAGATGACAAATGTTTGGATGACGGTCTCTTTTGATAAAATAATCATGTTTTTTTTTTTTTTTTTTTAAATTACTAAAGTAATTTTATAATCAAATGATGAATTGAAGAAATATGTTTTAGCGTTTTTTTTTTTTTTTGTAGACTAATTTGTTAGAAAAATGGAATTTTATCAAAAATCAAATAACAGCAAGTATTTGAAAGGGATAAAAACAAACTACAACCGTTGTAACAGTAATAATATCCCAAGCATTTGATGTGAAAAAAAAAAAAGAGGAAAGAAAAAAGAAGAAAATAACAATCACAAAATATAAAAATGCTACAAATTTTGAATTTCAAATCAAACTTTACAAAATTATAAATTGAATCAATAATTAAATAAAAACAGTGTGAGGATTTTTTGCGATGACAAAAGGAATTTTCATTATAAATAATATCATGCTTACGTATTTAAATTATGGATTTCAGATTTCAAATAAAAGTTCGCAGAAAAAAACGATGAGAAAATTCCGTTACACAATATTTTGACTAGGACAGTTACAATAAACAAGGCAAAGATATAAGATGCAATTCTTATTTTATGACAGTGCAAAAATAATGCAATCAAATGATACCATTATGTTGGATAATTTTCAAGTTAAATTTCGTGTATTTTCAATAAGCTTTTAAACTTAACTTTTAAAAAGAATTTAAATATGCTAAAATTAATGCTTTTTAATTCCTATACATCCAACACATTGTAACTTATCGAGGAAAGCTACAATTTAAATGCAGCCGAATTAAGAATTACAAAAACATGCATAAACAGACAAATAAGCTCTTGAAGGTTAAATAGAAATGCAATAAATAAATTTAAATTTGGTGTCATAAGTCTCGCGATAATAAACAAGTTGGAAAATACTTCACGTGTGTTTGCCACTGAGCAGAGATTTGGAAAAATCGTATCTCTGACCAAATACAACCGTCAATCGAAACTGAAAAAGAAAAAAAAAAAGGAAGGTTGATCAATGAAATGATGAATAATTTAATGGAAACCGCAAGACAGAAAAATGCATAAGCCATAAAGATTAATTTGTGATATTTTATTTGTTATTCTTAATTTAAATTAATTATTAGCATCATGGCTAAAAAAGAGACAATCTCTTGTTATTATTATAATAATTCGAATTCAATCCTCCTTAATTCACTGACTTCATTTATGCAAATAATTTAAGCCCCTTTTGTTCTAACAAACAATATGTGAAAACCATTCTTTAAAATATTATCAGATAAAATAAGCCAAATGCTTTGATCAGTTTTAAGAAACGTATAAGGATGCTATAAATTAACTTACTTGTAAGAGGATGTTTTCCACTACAAATAAGACGTGCTACATTGTTAATGCACTGAACTGAACTTTGACCCTCTGACTCATTTCGCTACAAATGAAAATTTCCACCAATGAAGTTAAATAATTAAAATATAGTTACTAAAAAATCATAGAAAGGGAACAAAGAAATATAGCAAATATAAAACTTATATTTTCAAATCAAAAAAAAAACAAAGATGTTCTTGAATTTTACATTAATGGAATGATTATTTTACAAACTATGCTACTTATATTCAAAGTAACTATTGGAAACATACTTGCACTTTTTTCATTCCAAATTTATGCAACATTTTGTCGCGCCTTCGCTCTTTAACAAATTGAAAAGAAAGAAGGGCACTAAATGGCTTTCGAAATACTGCAAATGAACGAAATGCTGATCGAATTGAATACTTCAAAAATTGAGGTTCACGTTTGATTACTCCACTGCCACCGCTACCGATACCACTATTTGCACCGCTTTCATTCTAGAAATGAAAGTTATTAAATTATGAAACCACAAAAAACAGCTAACTTACATAATAGAAGAAATAAACGGACAGGTAGTATATTATTGTAATATCAAAGTTCTAAAAATCAAAAATCTTCAATTTAGATTGTTATATATGCAAATTATGCCTTCGTATTTGCATATGAAAGAAATAAAAGCATTATCGAAATTAAAGACGGATCTCTAACTTACATTTTGATTACTTGGTATCCAATATTCGATTAGAAGGTCCTGTGAATCAGATATTTTGATATTATGTGGAGTTAATGGAGGAGATAATTGCTGCACACCAAAAATACCCTGCAACGATAATGTCAACATTTTTTCATCAGCAAATTTTTTCATTCATAGGAAAAATGCTTAATTAATAAAACTATTTTTCAACTTAATTAATAACATTACCTAAAAAAAAAAAAACAGGTTTAGGGACTAACAGTATGACACTGCAGAGGAATTCACAGAATTCTGCAATTTCAAAAGTATTAATCATTCTACTCTTGGCTATTTGGTTAAGTTAGACATCAACTAACACTTTTTTAAGATTTCCACAATGTTTTGTAAGATTTCATTAAAATCAAAACGAAATTTTAATGGCATCAACAGATTTTAAAAAAGAAACATATAAATCATTTTACAGGTACCTGAGTTTCCTCATTAAGTCGTGCAGACATTGTGCAAGCTTCTATGTCCTCTTCAAACTGACCAACTCGAATTTCGGAAAGAAATGGAACAAACTGTGAACTTTCCTTTTCATCGATTAAACTGTAATTTCATCAATTAGTTCTTAAGAAAATGTACAACCAGAAGTGTCAAAAAAATGTCAAAAAAAGCTAATGCCATCTAATATTAATCAAATATTTTGTTGGAAAAAATTTTAATATTAATCATTAATATTAATTAAGTATTTAAGTAGCAGTTGAATTACTGAATGAACTACCTACTGACTAATTAAAATATAGCGGGAGCATAAATGCCATTTGGACCGATCGAGTAATTAACTAACAGTACTAATATTTATATAATATATAAAATTTATATAATATATAATATTTATATATTATATAAAATGAAAAGACATACGCTTTACTGTGCAACTGTAACATTGCTTCACCAATTGG